GCATGGTACTAGTATAAACTTGTTGTTTATGTTTTTTTTTTTTTGGCAGACAGAAAAATACGCCCACAATAATTTAAATCTCTGTACTTGTGGTGAAAGTCTGTAAAAGTTTCGGCCAATTTATGAATTTCTAATGGACCCTCTTCCTAAAGTAGGACACCTTTCACATTGCACGCTCCAATTACCATCACAAGAGCATACAAGTACTTTGTAAAGTTCTAAATTCCTACCATCGGATGTTCCAGATACAGTAGTAAAAGAGGGGCGAAAGATACCAGAGGGACAGTCAAACTTATAGATTGAAAATAAACTGACAACGCCATGGCTAAAAAATAAAAAGACAAACAGGCAAACAATAATACACAAGACACAACATAGAAAACTAAAGACTAAGCAACACGAACCCCACCAAAAACTGGGTGTGATTTCAGTTGCTCCGGAAGAGAAAGCAGATCCTGCTCCACATGTGGCACCCGTCGTGTTGCTCATGTTATTACAAATTCGGTAAATAGTCTAATTCGGTAGGTCACATTCGTGGTGAAAAAGGAAGTGGATTGTAATTACGACATAAGGAACATATCCGATGTCATCTGTGAAACGGTTATTCCATAACGGTCCACCAACTTGTGATGGTGTCCGTAAAATTTACGAAGAGATGATTTCAACTTCACCATTTAAAACTATTGGTTTAATAGCTTCCTTTTGATCAGCAACCCTCTATAAAGGAAATCATGATATGAAATACAAGACGGGAATATCGTATCAATTGGGAGATATATACTCCGTATGTAGCAAACATATTAGCATATTAACTGTTTATTTCTATAATTTTTACAAGGTTTAATCTCGGGTTTATTTAGAATATGATAGATAAAAATATAAAATAGATATTTTCTTTCTTTTTGTCATATTGTTCACCCATGGATCATCATAGCGTTCATCTGTTGTTGCTCTGGTTCAAAAAACATAAACGCCGATCAACGGGGCGTGGCTGGTCATCGTGGTTGCGCCGTCAGATAATTGTGACGTCATCTCCGTTGAGACTTTTTGAACTACATTTGTCAAAGGATGACAAAAAAAAAATACACATATATATATAATTTAATCCCTTTGTCTACCTTAAGTGACTGATTTTTTTTCAAATATGTCAGATGTGTTGAAGGTTTGTTTCTTTTACATTTTTCTTGAGTAGACTGAAACTAAACATCAAGCAGAAATACACTATGGGCTCGGAATTGCGTCTTGACATATTCGTTCGTTGTCCCAGCAGTCCTCAAGTGGTCAAGATTTTTGCCTGGTCCTAGTGGATAAATGCAAAACCAGAATAAAAACGTCCATTATGTTACAATACTGCAGTTATGACGTCATATTTTACCATTACGTCAAAGGCAGATATCGGTAACAGTGGCAAGTCTTGGCTTTGCAATGCACTAAACTCTTCTTGCATTGAAACAGTTCATATACCCCGTGTCGATCCTCTATGTGTTGGTCCTTATTCAACTGTGACGTAAAGTGCATTGTTATAGACGATATAGGCAACCGTAGACAGGCCTAAGAAAAGATCGTTGGCATTTGAAAAGAGTACAAAAAGCCTAAATACAGGCTTTCTTGCATAGAAGGGTTCTGCAGGTAAGTATAAAACTTTCACCATTTTTGCATTGCAAGAACATGTCTATAGATATAGGAAGATGTGGTATGAGTGCCAATCAGACAACTTTCCATCCAAATCAAAATTTTCAAAAAGTACACACCAAACAGCAAGCTATAAAGGGCTCCAAAAACTACTAGTGTAAAACCATTCAAACGGGAAAACCAACGGTCTATTCTATATAAAAAACGAGAAACAAGAAACACATATGAACCACATCAACAAAAGACAACTACTGAACATCATATTCCTGACTTAGGACAGCGAGTTTAAACGTTTTAATGGTACCAAACCTTCACCCTTATCTAAAACAATAGTGTAACATCACAACATAGAAAGACACACTATAAAATATCAATTGAAAGGGCTTAACTCAATCAAAAGACATATTAAAATTTGATCTATGATACAATGTAATTACAAATTAAATAAACTAAGGGAAGAATAATTAAAGTAACATGTTATACCGCTGTGAAATGTAAAACAATTTAAGAAAACAATATGCTTGAACAAAAATATCAGCCATTTGCAATTACTTTAAACACAGGTAAACGAAAATAATTTTGTTGTTAGGTACAGTTCAAATTGAGTAAGGAAATATTTTTACAAAATAAATAATTTTGATGTTCATAGTACGAAGAAGTGAACATTTATAGTAATACCAAACACTTATCAAAGCTGGTATATAGACCAGATATAACCCTGACTAAGTGAACATTAAATAACAAAAAAGCATCACAATTAGTATCAACAGGTCAAATAAACAGGAAAGTACGATTTGAGAGTACTCGCAGTTACTGACAGCTAGTTAAAAGCCAAAAACAATTAATAATAAAAAAATCATATATCAGAGACTAATATCAACTAAAACACATCCCAGGGATTTAGTATTTTAACGTCACGGACAGTCAAAGAAGCCATGACTTGTGCAATGCCATAATAAATGTATCGACAGGCAGTAGGATAGTTGGGAGTTAACCTCTTTATAGATCAAAATGAACGTGGGTGTGTTTTAAAGTTTGAAAAGAATACAAATTTAGTTATTTTGTTTCACAAATACATGTACGAGGAATTCGACATAAGGTACCAAAACAAAACATAAAACTACGGAAATACACTTCTCTTGTCCTCTGAAATTTCTGTTTCCCAAATAGATAAATGAATAAATAAGTTTGGAACTATATCATTGTTCTAAAAAGAGTATTCTAGAAATACGTTATGTGTGCAACACGGTGTAGATCAGTTCATATAGTTTATGTTTTATGCACGGTGTAAATCGGATCATGTCGTTTATGATAGTTTGTATACAGTTTATGGTTTATGCACGGTATAGATCAATGTTTCTTACACAAGCTTTTGAAAAATCAACAGGCGGCAGATGTTGTTGGTGCATTTTTTTTTCGCCTAAGCTAATCATGTAATATCTTTTGATAACGGACACATTCATGTGCTATACACAGTTTCGTATAAAAACTAGAAATTCCAAAAAAAAGAGAAAATAGCCAAGGAGGGAAAACTCTTTAATTTACATAATTGGTGACAAAGTATTGTGCTTTTTATATTTAAGGTGGTACATAACACTACAGGAAGATAACTCTTTTAAAAATCAGCTGAACTTTTTAATCACGTTCTGTTGTTAAGGAAATATTAAGCTTCTCAATGATCAAAATTAGTGTTTGTCAAACTGCTATATATCCAACGAAATTTTTGCGAAAAAGTGTGTGGTTTAAGTTTTTTTAAAATTTTGAATTTTTGTCAAAGGGTCAAAGTAAATATTTTGTCAATATTTTATGAAAATTAAACGAGCCAAATTAATTTTAGTCAAGGTGTTTGGTACCACCTTAATAGTAAGAATTAGTCAGTTAGCTTTCAATCAAAACATGTTAAAGTGTCAAAAAGATTTTTAAAATATAATAGATATACTTTGTTTAAGGGTAGACAACAATGTAAAATTCCTTTTTTGGTAGTAAAATGGCAAACTTCATTGACGCTTCTCTATCTTTTCGGAACAGTCGAATGTACCCTGGAGTGAAACTTTTTTTTCAAAATTCAAGGTAAAAATGTCTTTGTTTCATGACTTTATGGGTATTCACATGACCTGATTTCAGGTTTTTCGTGACGAGATAGTACAATTTTTTCATTTTCATTTTGTATGTTGAAATTACACTTTATTTTCATTTCTTTATAAACTTTCTGATTTTAGTGATATCTATTTTTATACAAGAGTTCTATAAAAAAAAAACACCACGAAGGGGTCGATGCATGGTCTCGCAAAATAGGACGTCATACAAACAAACAGCCTTGTTGTAGTCGTTAATTATAGAATAACTAATCAAAGAATTCAAGTATAGAAAAAAAAATTTCAACGAGGGACCGAAGAACACATTAATTCACTAATGTGCGTAGCGCATGAGATAATTATCAGTGTTGTTCGGTAACTTGAAAAGTTTAAACGTTTTTGATGTTGTTACACCTCTCTTCGATCGATATTCCTCTAACCATGTTCTTTAGGGAAAAAAGCAATTAATCCATACTCATTTTCAATTTTATCAATAACCCTTTCAGTAATAATTTGCTGTACACAGATTTAAAAGTATATCAAACAGAACTGAAACTATATGAGATGTGGGTTATACGTCAAAAAGACGTCAGAAAGTAATCAAACGACAAAAACCACATTAGGACATATAGATGGCAACATATAGTGTTCAACATTAGACAGGAGTCTACAAAATATGTTAAGTTCTAAATCGTCACGAATTTATATCAAAATTGTGAATAGATTTAACAGACTCAATTAAAGATCTGCATTAAACCGCAAATGCGCGATTCTTCAAATAATGTAATTTAGGAGAAAGTTTGAATGTCAAAAAAGATAATAACTTAAAGGTTCACCCTTTATTTACCCTACAAGAAAACGTTCCCAGTAGCCGTGGGTTGAATATTGTCTGAACATTTCCAAAACGTTCATTTGAATTGATGGAATTATGTGTTAAAACAGTTATTTGCCAATCAAATCAGTACTTATCATTTAATCGTCGGAATGACCCGAATGAAATAGAACATTGCTAAATATTCTTTCCAACGTGAATTGATATTTAGACAAATATATTTATACTTCCCTTTCTTGATTTTAACAGCACGTTTTAAATAAAAAGTTAAACACAGTGCACGTCATTATGACAGCATCACATCAACACAAAAACATAAACAGATTAGTGTTAACCAAGTTTGAAGTACTCTATCTTTCTCCATATTTTTAAAATCTTTCCCCTCTTATTCAAAACTGTAGATAATATATAATGTGCAACTTACCAGCCAGGAGCAATACTAGAACTAGGATAAGAAGAACCTTCTGCATGTTTCAGAATTAGATAAACTTGAAAATCTAAATAAAAAAAGTCAATTAGTTCTACCTTAATATGTTTCGCGATTTTCTTTTTCTTTTTCTTTATATATTTTTATGCAGCGGAGGGGGAATTAAGGTGTTACCCTAGTCCATCTCTACGTTGTATGTACGTCCAAAATTAGTTTCCGTTCTTTAACTTTAGTTTACCTCAACCAAATGTTATGAAACTTTCGCACAATGCTTATTACCACAAAACACATATCAAATTTAAATTGGGGTGGGGGCGTCAATTTTACCGTTCGAAAGTTATGCGCCTTTACAAATGGAAATAAAAGCTTATTTTTTCGTTTCCGTTTCCTAACTTATGTTTTTCTCAACCAAATGTTATGAAACTTTTACACAATGCTTGTTACCAAAAAAACTCAGATCCAGTTTGAATTTTGGTTACGTCAGTTTTATTATTCTTGAGTTATGTCCCTTAACAACATTATATGAAAGCGGGGGCATCATTTATGTCTCATGGACACATTCTCGATCAATTCCTTTCCTTTTTAATGTGTTATGAAGAGTTTATCAAATTCCGTTTCCTATCATTTCAAAGTAGCTAGAATTAAAGATTTATGATTTACCTTGTACTGGATATGAATTGAACAACAGTCAATCATTACATCATAATATTTCATGATATATATATATATGTAACACAATGCACTAATTATACAGTCTATGCTCTTTAAGAAAAAAACTTGTCATTTAACAGTTTCTATGAGGATTATTGTTAGGCATTTTTAAACTTTTCCGGACGTTAGAAAGGAGAAAATATGAGGCTCTAAATGTGTAAAATTGTTCAATGAAGAGTTGCAAATTGATAGCAACTTATTTTGACATGGAATACAATTCATATAATCTTTCTATCAGTTTAATTGAGGTCTGGAGCTGGCATGTCAGTAACTGCTAGTAGTTCTTTGTTACTTTTGTATATCATTGTCATTTGGCTTAGTTTCTTCTGTTACCTATTCTGAAATCGGACTCGGGCTTCTTTTAAACTGAGTTTTACTGTACGTATTGATGTGTGTTTGTTTTTTTTACATTGGCTAGAGGTATAAAGGGGGGTTGAGATCTCACAAAACATGTTTAACCCCGTCGCATTTTTGCGCCTGTCCCTATTCAGGAGCCTCTGGTCTTCTATGTTTTTTTTTAATATTAGTTCTATTATATGATTTGGATTTTAGTGTGACGTCCATTTTCACTGAACTAGTACACATTTTTGTTTAGGGGCCAGCTGAAGCCCGCCTCCGGGTGCGGGACTTTCTAGCTGTGTTGAAGACCCATTGGTGGCCTTGGACTCAGCTCTTTGATCGAATTGTTGTCTCTTTGACACATTCCCCATTTCCATTCTTAATTTTAAACACTAAATCAAGTTTTGTACTGAAACATTACTGCTGACATGTAATTTGCGCTCATGCACATCAATCATGGGATTAAGAAACCCAATTTGATTATTTCATATGTAAAATACCAGTTTTAGAAAATGTAAATAAAGTCAAAAACTCCAAGCTTATGAATACCAAAAGTTATAGAGTTAATAAATAGTATATTTGAGGCCACAGCAATTTGCTGATGTTCTAACTTCCATGCCATGAACAAGATTCGAATCAGGGTGAAAACCAACATTGATGGAATTTCAAATCTCTAAGAGGAGCGCGTCGATAGTGTCAGTGTCTTTTTCTATGCATGCAACACATGACATGCGAATCCACACTCAGCCAAAATGTCACATCTGTATATATTTGCAGGCAGGCCTGGGGCCATTACATTGCAATGTAATGCATACATTACAATTACTATGTGATTCTTCCATTACAATTACAATTACATTTTTTTCTCACACGTAATGCATTACATTACAATTACTTTGCCTGTGTAATGCATTACATTACACATTACTTTTTCAATATAAAAACTAAAAACATTAAAACAACAGATTTTTATAAGAAATTGATAAATATTACCGGGGTATATGTACATATATATACAGTGTTAGTGACATAGACTTCAAATACTTGAAAAATGAATAAATTATCATATAATTTTGTTTCTAACATTGATCACTTAATCATTCAGACATCATAAAGGGATTTCAAAGGGATATAATAAATGTGCCATTAAGGATTATCTTGTAAAATGCCTAAGGGCTCTGTGAGGACAAACATAAGTTGAGAAGATTTGATTGCAATAAAAACATTTTGATAATTTGATATTAATTAGGTGAAATAACAACCACAGTTTGGTGTAAAGATGTTGATTGATATATTCAATCTTTCATTGAAATACATGTATGGTGTGTATAGAATTATGCAAAATTTCATCTTCATATTTTTTCCATTCATCTATATAGTTTTGTTTAATAATTATTTTTTGAAGATTTTTTTAGGGCAAACTATCTTTAATGATTTAATACAGTAATTAACTGTGACAATAAATTATTCAATACTTTCTTTTGTTTTTGTTAATATTTTATTTTTATTTTATGATATTCTTCAATTTTATGTATTTTACCAATTTGTAATGAAAAGTAATGTACAGTAATGGAGGCATTACATTGATTTTTAACTAAAGTAATCATTACATTACATGTAATTGTAATGCAGAAAATGTGCATTATAAATTATTTTGCATTACATAAAAAAAATGTAATATTACAATGCATTACAATTACAAATTACCATTACCCCAGGCCTGTTTTCAGGTCAGACAACCTATTTTGTTTGAAGGTCTACCAACGCGAAAACATGTCAATAGTTAGTTGTGACATAGAAACATTGTACTGATCGACCATTGTATGATGGTAACAGTAAAACTTATGTTTTGTCGATTTTGGTGTAAGGAGCACATCCCTGTTAATGAAGTTCTTAAAGTGTGGACGAACACACATGGAACTTATCAATTAAGCTATGTAAATGCCATATGATGGGCAGATGGTATTTTACTTCTGAGAAATGGGAAGTTAACAATTGGGAAGTTGAATTCGTCACGTTTGTCATATATTCTAGTTTGAAGTCGTCCATCTATGTCAATATCAAGGAAAAGATCAAGATATGACGCAGACCTATTTTCAGTGATATCATTGACCTCAAGTTTAAATGGCATATAAGAGATCCAAACACTCACTGGAATGAGGGTTATTAAGTGACAGGGCATCATAAATATATATGAAAGTGAAAAAGAACTTTGAAAGGTGCTTTTCGATTTTGGTCTTTGAGAAAGTTCTGTATGAATTCTGCTTCATATGTGTACCAAAAAGTCGGCCAGCAGGGGTGCACAATACGTATCCATTAAAATACCGACAGTCTGTTCAAATACCTATCAACCAAGCTCAACGAAAATGTTGTCGATCAGAAAGTTCAGCATGTTGATGAAATCATCTTCGGTGTACGTGATGTTGGATTAAGTGTGTTTCTTCACTTTGTAAGATATTTTATTACCTTAAACAGGGAATTTGTATCTAAAATGCCTATATTTTTATAGAAAAACCTCTGTTAAGAGGACGATAAACATAGTTATTATCTTCATCAGAAACAATTTTTTGTAATTTTAAATTAGAAACTCTGAGCTAGAATTATTGAAATCAAAATATACAGAATTATAGGTAAAGACGAATAGCAATCTATAGGGACCAATAACGCATTACATAAATGTTTATTTAAAAGACTCATACATTGATTCCTGTCTCAAAATCTTGGCCAGCAAAGAATACAATCAATAATTTAAAATATACCTGTACAGAAGTTCAACTAATATTGACTATGCCTGATAGGGTTATAACTGTAATTTTGCATTTTCAATAAATTCAAATTCATCAAATAACACAATTGTACTTTGTTTTTGGTTGGGTTCGTGTTGCTCAATCTTTATTTTTGTATGTTGTGTTTTGTAGACAGTTGTGAGTCTTTTGGTCGTTTTCGGGGGTTTTTTCCCATGGCGTTTTCAGTTTGTCTTCGACTTGTGAGATTGAATATATTTTTTGTATCTTCCGCCTCTTGTACATAATTTCATTTCATTTCTGACTCAGCGAAATGGATAATGCACTTTTCCTATATTTTTCTGGTATTTCATATTTTTTTATAAATCATTTTGATGCAATTGCAAGTACACGAACACATATTTTTTAGATAGCAATACAACATGAAAGATAGAAACTATCTAAATTCATTTTATCTTTAAACATAATGTTTTGGAATAACTTATGTTCTGCATCATAAAACAAAACATGATACAATGCAGAATTTCTTTCGGTAATTGTTATGCTTTTCCTATTCTATCTTGTAAATGACTAAAACTAAGTTCAGCTTGCAAACCCATCACCAAATACCTAATATAAGTCTTCAAATGAACTTGGCATATGTTTTGGAATGTATGCAAAGTATGATCATTACACATTATCTGATAGCGTAGGTCTAAATGATGATGCTTATTATTAAATAAACTATTGAATGAGAGCGTTCATGTTATATTTTATATAAAATTCTGCCTATGGTTTTAAAAGATAAGTTTCCAGATTTATAATTGACTAGCAACAGATATTTGTTTCACGTTATATATATGCAACGCAACATACAATAAAAAAAACACAAAAAAAGTCATACCTTTTAGAAGACTTGGTTACGAGTATTTAGTTTCATCAACCGTATTTTACTTTTTTATACCTAGAAGTAATTAAATACGGTTTTATCCGTGAAACATGTTGAAGGATTTAATTTTTTCTTCCTTTTTGTATTGCATATGCAATCGTTAGCATTTTATACTTATCGTTGTATCTAAAATTTGCTACTCTTTTGTGCTGAATCAAAATATATAAAACCTTAAAGAGGATTTCATTCGAACATCTGTTTCAAATGCAGATTCGTGCAAAAATGTGATCAGAACATATAACAGTATTTATTGTTGTATAATATATGACATATATATGAATACAAGAAAGTACAGTGTACCTTGAGATAACATCCTAAATTATCTAACGGCAGTCTTCTAGGTGTAATAC